TTATAGAATGAAAACCAGAAAACTTTGCTGAAAGAAACTTAAAAAGACATAAATAAATGGAAACATATTATATGTTCATGGATTGGAAGGCTTATCATTAAGATGCCAATACTACTCACAGTGATTTACATATTCAATATAATCCCTGTCAAAATCCCACTGATACTTTTTTTGCAGAAACAGAAAAGCTCATCCTAAAATTCATATGGAATCCCAAGGGACCCTGAATAACCAAAACAATATAGAAAAAGAACAAAGCTGAAGGACTCACATTTCCTTATTTCAACACTTAGTATAGAGCTACAGTAATTACAGCAAAGTAGTATTGGCACAAAGATTAACATACAGATCAATGGAACAGAACAGAGAGTCCATAAATAAACCCTTGCATATATGGTCAAATGATTTTTGACAATGGTGTCAATACCACATGATGGGGAAAGGAAGATTGTCTCAAATGCTGCTAGGAAAACTCGATATCCACAAAAAGAACGAAGTTGGATCCTTACCTAACATCATATATAAAAACTTACTCTAAAATCTTAGCAAAGTTTTTTTATAGCTACCCACAAGCTCTTCCATAATTAATATGGAAAGGCAGAGAAAAAAAACAGCCAAAACAATTCTGAAGAACAAAGGTGAAGTATTCCCAGTAGCCCATTTTAAGACTTCCTATAAAATCAAGACAGTGCAATGCTGGTGAAAGATCAGACACAAGATGAATGAAACAGAAAACAAAGCCTAGAAATAGACCCATACAAACATTGTCTCCTGATTTTTTTTTTTTTTTAAACAAAGACATAAAGGCAATTCAATGTAGAAAGGAAAATCTTTTCAACAAATGGTGCAGGAACACTTGCACATCCATAGACATAAAAAATAAACCTCAAGGGCGCCTGGGTGGCTCAGCTGGTTAAGCGTCTGCCTTTGGCTCAGGTCATGATCTCAGGGTCCTTGCTCAGCGGGGAGCCTGCTTCTCCTTCTCCCTCTGCCTGCCACTCCCCCTACTTGTGCTCGCTCTCTCTCTGTCAAATAAATAAAATCTTTAAAAAAAAAATTAAAAAAAAAAAAAACCTCAACACATAACCCAACCCTCTACAAAATTTAGCTAAAAATGGATCATAGACTTAAATGTAAAAGCTAAAACTATAAAAGTCTAGAAAAATAAAAGAGAAAATTTCTGTACTTTGGTTTGGGCAATGAGATTTTATTTTTATTTGTTCATTTTATTCAGTAGGCTTCAGGTCCAGTGTGGGGTTTGAATTCATGACCCAGAGCCAGCCAGGTACCCAAGCAATGAGATTTTAGATACGACATCTAAAACTCAATCCATTCTAAAAAAATAAAATTGAGAAAATGGAATTTATCAGTCAGTGTTACAAAAATGAAAAGACAAGCCAGAGACTGGGAGAAAACATTCACACATCACTTTTCTGATGAAGGACTTGAATCTCGAATATGTAAAGAACTCTTAAAAATCAATGGCAAGAAAACAACCCAATTAAAAATTGGGGAAACGATCAGACACAGAACAGATACTTCGCCAAAGATATTCGGAGAGCAAAACATAAAAGATACTCAATAATACTAGCTATAGGGAAATGCAATTTAAAACCACAATGAGGGGCGCCTGGGTGGCTCAGATGGTTAAGCGTCTGCCTTCGGCTCAGGTCATGATCCCAGGGTCCTGGGATCGAGTTCCACATCGGGCTCCCCGCTCAGTGGGGAGCCTGCTTCTCCCTCTGACCCCCTCCCCTCTCATGCTGTTTCTCGCTCGCTCGCTCTCTAAAAAATAAATAAAATCTTTTAAAAAAATAAATAAATAATAAATAAATAAATAAATAAAATAAAACCACAATGAGGGCGCCTGGGTGGCTCAGATGGTTAAGCGTCTGCCTTCGGCTCAGGTCATGATCCCAGGGTCCTGGGATCGAGTCCCGCATCGGGCTCCTTGCTCAGCAGGGAGTCTGCTTCTCCCTCTCCCTCTGCCTCTCCCCCTGCTTGTTCTCTCTCTGTCTCTCTTGCAAATGAATAAATAAAATCTTAAAAAAAAAACAACAACAATGAAATACCACTTCACATGTATTAGTATGGCAAAATTTTTACAAACCTGACAATACCAAGCAATGGCCAGGACGAGGAGCAACAGGAACTCTCATTCACTGCTGGTAAGAGTGCAAAATTGCACAGCCAATTTGGAAGACAGTTTTTTACAAAGATAAAGACATTGTCACCATACAATCCAGCAATCATGCTCCTAGACATTTATCCAACTGATGGGAAAATTCATGTCTACACAAAAACCCATAGATGAATGTTGACAGCATTTGTAATCACCAAAAACTGGAAGCATCTGAATATCAAGACTTACTATAAATAGAGTGTGATACTGGCCCAAGAACAGAAAAGTGGACCAAGTATAGAGAGCAAGATGGACTCACTCGTATCAAATGGTAATGCAAGCAGCCAAGGGTGTTGCTGTTAAGACCAGGTATCATGGAAACCAGCAACCAGAACTGAAAACCAGCAGAAGAAGAGGCCAGCAGAGGTCCAAGACTGATTAAACTCCTTTAAAGGTTCATATATTGAGAGAGAGAGAGCGAGAACACGGGGTGGGGTAGGGGGAGACGGAGGGAGGGAGAGAGAATCTTAAGCAGACTCCCCACTGAATATGGAGCCTGATGCAGCGCTCGATCCCACGACCCTGAGATCCTGACCTGAGCCAAACCCAAGAGTCGGACACTTAACCCGCTGAGCCCCCCAGGCGCCCCGACTGAACTCCTTCAACAAGGGAAGATTTTGCAGCACAGTGTCCCACTTGTGTCTGAGCGTATCAGAAAGGGAACTGCTGCTGCCGCAGGCTCTGCCCAACTGACCTCTGAGCAGAACAGACTCTCCACAGCTTGAACACAGTCAGGAGCATGTGGCAAGAGGGACCTGGATGGACCGGGTCCTCATCTCAACTGTGCACTCACACACACGCTTTGCGTTTGGTTCGTTCACTTCTCACCCTTGCTGTATCTTGTTTGTTGTGTGACTCTGTACTATGCTTTGCTCTGTTAAATGCGATGTCATTGAGTTTGAAATCCTGAACCTGCTACACAATTATGTTAGCCTTGTTTTATAACTGAATAAAGGTGACACAACCCGTGTGCACCTTCATAGTGTGCTCATGACACCAATGGGACAGAATGAAGAGTTAGGAAACCAAACCATACTTATGGACACCTGACACATGACAAAGGTGGCACTGCAGAGTCAGGGGTTGGAATCAATCACTTCACTGGGACTGGGAATTGGATAGCTCTGTGAAAAAAATAAATCTTTGACTCCCACCCACACCAAACATAAAAATTCATTCTAGATATATTATAAATCTAAATGTGAAAGGTAAAATAATAACAAAGAAAAATGTCTTCATGAGCTTCAGATAAGAAAAAAGTACTTAAATTGGACACAAAAAAGCACAAGCAATAAAATTTACGAATCAGAATAAGTTAAAATCAATTATCTGTTCATCAAAAGACAGCATTAACAGAATGAAAAGGGAAGGAAATATTTAGAGGAGGCATGATGATATCTGAAATATATTAAGAAATGCACCAAAAATAAGACGGGTTTAATGGATGCATAGAGAGAGAGACACGGACAGATAATGTGATAAAGCAAGTATAGTAAAATGTTAATGGTAAATTCTGGGTGATGGGTACACAGAGGTTTGCTAAAATCCTTTCAACTTTGCCCTCTGTTTGAAAATTTTTATAACACAATATTGGAGGCAGAAGAAGCATCCCAGGTAAAATTTGAATATGGATTTGGTATCAAGATAGTTTTAAACTTTCACGTGCATGAATCACTGAATCTTGTTAAAATGAAGAGTCAATTATAACAGGATTGAGGTGGGACATGATATTCTGCATTTCTAACAAGCTTCCAGAACATAAAAAAATTCATTTAAACCAGTAAGAAAAAAGACAGAAAAACCAAAGGTAACAAAATGTCAAATAAACATGACAAAAGGTACTCATTCTCTTTAGCCAGCAGGAAATGCAAATTAAACCCATGAAGAGACACCACCACCAGAGTGGCTCAAATTCAAAAGACTAACAATAGAAATTGTTGGCCAAGAATGTGAAGTAAGTGAAACCTTCAAACACTGCTCTCCTAGCATGAGCTGGTAAATATAAGAGCACCAGTGTTTAATGAAACAAAGTGCTTACTGAAAAATATAAACAGGGGCGCCTGGGTGGCTCAGTCGTTAAGCGTCTGCCTTCGGCTCAGGTCATGATCCCAGGGTCCTGGGATCGAGCCCCGCATCAGGCTCCCTGCTCTGCAGGAAACCTGCTTCTCCCTCTTCTATTCCCCCTGCTTGTGTTCCCTCTCTCACTGTGTCTCTCTCTGTCAAATAAATAAATAAAATCTTTAAAAAATAAAAAATAAAAAAAAAAGAAAGAAAAATATAAACAATATAGCAAGATACATGTGCCACACCTGGGTGGCTCAGTTAGTTAAGTGTCTGCCTTTGGCTCAGGTCAGTCCTGGGATCAAGCCCTGCATTAGGGTCCCTGCTCAGCAGGGAGTCTGCTTCTCCCTCTGCTGCTCCCCCTGCTCGTGCTCTCTCTATCTCTGACAAATAAATATATAAAATCTTAAAAAAAAAGATACATGTGCCACACCATTAACATAAATTAAAAATACATACACAGCAATAACAATACATATTTTGTGAACACATATAAACAAAAGAAATCCATAAAGAACAAAGTAATTTTGGGGGGGTGGGGAAGGAGACTGAAATTGAGTATGGGGAAATCAAAAAATATGTAATAGTCAGGGACCTTACACAAACCACTGATGATAAACAGACTATGAACTGAAAAGTGATTAACTTAACCCTAAGGATCTCCATCCCTCTCCCCACCAAAAAAAAAAAAAAAAAAGAGAGAGAGAGAGAGAAGTACTGAAGAAAAGAAGCAGGAATAAATAAGCAAACAACTCACCCGAGACTGGGTGGTTTTTGGCTGCTCCTGAGAAATAAACAGCCACTCTAGAACCTGCTCTGTCCTGTGATTCTTGTGTCTTTGCCAGGGTCCTCCAGGGAGAAGTCTGTGGTCAGGAGTCCCTTGACCCAGGATGGATTCCTGACCTTGCAGCTCTCTGGTTCTGTTGCATGAATTCTCTTGTTCCTGGAGAGGTGGAACCTGTGGACACAAGAGCAAATTCGCTTTAATGACCAGCATTCCGCTAGGTCCCAACCTCATCTCTTCTGCTGGTGAACACACTCACGGGAGACCAGGCTGGATGTTCTGCACGCTGTGTTCAGTGTCGCTGTGGGGCAGAACCCAGCACAATGATGACAGTCCCCTCCCCACACTCTGCACAGGCACCCAGGAGCCCTGAAGTTGCAGCAGCCACCCTAAGAGTTGAACAACTCCAGGCAGTCATTTAAATAACACAATGCCAGATGCTAGAGAGCAACAACTCTTAGGCTGGGCGTATACAAGCCGTAGATTTCAAATGAGCCAGAATGAGTTAGAATTTCTTCCCTCACTATTTAGATGTCTATCAACAATTCACTTACTCTCTCTCACAGAGTCTTACTTTTTGCTGTGGTGAACACTGGGAGTAGGGTGGCATCAGGTAGCAGTGCAGTTTTTTAACCTTCCAAGAACTCCCAATGAATGCAAATGAGAACAATCACAATGGTACAAGAAACAGCCCATAGACATCAACACCAAACCAACACAGTCTAGGTGCCAGGGTCTCTTTACAAACATCGAGATATATGCAGAGGTGACCCAAGAGCAGAGGACAGATCCCAGGAGAGAAGAGTGAGCAATAAGGGAAGATTCTGACAGGCCACACACTGCAGATCCCCAAAGTCACCAATAATGTGTGCCCCCAATGGGAGAACAGTCCCAAAGTCACTAAGTGACCTGACAGCACTGTGGCTACCTAAGAACATGGGAATTTGAAAAGTAACTGGAAAACAGTCCTTTCCAGACACACAGATCTTTTCTCTGAGGGAAAAGTGCTAAAGATAGTGCCCAAATTGCTCAACACAGAAGATGAAGGTAGTGAGAGGAATGAGAGAGAGAGAGAGACAGAGGAGGGGAGGGGAGGGGAGGGGAGGGGAAAGGAGGAAAGAGGGGAGGAGGGAAGAATAGAGGAGAGATCCAGACACCTAGAGGGAAAGGACAGAGAAGGGAGAAAGGCTACTAGACAGTAAGAGGGAAGCATTCAGCTCTTATTCCAGAAATTAACAACAAAATATGTAAATGTGAGAGAAATACATTAGAAGACAAGGCATGTTGAACTCTAGGAAGCACAGGGCTAGAGGCAGAAAAAACGGCTTCCTGACAAGGCTTAGCACTTAGGTATGAGTTTGTTTCCATCTCCAAAAGAATCACTGAGAAGATGAACTAGGAACAGTAAAAATGGTGACTTCTGCAGGAGGGAAAGGACAGGGCAGAAGGGATGGAAGCAAGTCAGTTTCTATTTTTGAATCATGTATAAATATCTTACATAATCAAAAAGAGGGAAGGCAATCCCTAAGGTTGCAAATAAGTGTCAGCAAATATATATGTTTATCAAATTGGAAACAAAACTACAAGAGAATAATTTTTCTAACTGATCTTTAGATAAAATGAGGTACAAAGACATACTGAACTTCATTTGGTATCCTTGTAAGTGAAAACAAATTATAATTTTAAAACCATTTTATGTACACTGTAGGATATGACAGTTATATTACTATTATTAAGAACCAAGATATCTGGATTTAACAGATATATTCATAACATTCTATCATAAAACAGCAGAATATACATTCTTTTCGAATATACATGGAACATTGTCCAGAACAGATCACATATTAGGCCATAAAACAAATCTCAACAAATTCGAAAAGACTGAAGTCATGCCATGCATCTTTTCTGACCACAATGCTATGAAACTAAAAAATCAACCACAAGAAAAAAAATCTGGAAAACACACAAACATATGGAGGTTAAATAACATACTACCGAACAATGCATATGTCATCCAAGAAACCAAAGAGAAAATCAAGAAAATACATGGAGAAAAATGAAAATGAAAACACAACAGTCCAAAATCTCTGGGATGTTTTAAGAGGGAAGTTCAAAACAATACAGGCCCACTTCAAGAAACAAGAAAAATCTCAAACAACCAATCATAAATCTAAAGGAACTAGAAAAAGAACAAACAAAACCCAAAACCAGTAGAAGGAAGGAAATAATAAAGATTATAGCTGAAATAAATGAAACAGAAACTAAAACAAACAAACAATAGAACAGATCAATGAAACCAGGAGCTGGTTCTTTGAAAAGATCAACAAAATTGATAAGCTTTTAGCTAGACTCATCAAGAGACACACAGAGAGAGAAGACTCAAATAAAATTAGAAAGGAAAGGAGAATAACTAATACCACAGAAATACAAAGGATTATAAGAGAATATTAAGAAACATTATATGCCAACAAACTGGACAACCTAGAAGAAATGGATAAAATCCTAGAGACCTATAACCTCCTAAAACTGAATCAGGAAGAAATTAGAGAATTTGAACAGATTGATTACCAGTGATGACATTGAATGAGTAATCAAAAAACTCCCAACAAACAGAAGTCCAGGACCAGACAGCTTCATAGGTAAGTTCTACCAAACATTTAAAGAAGAGTTAATATCTATTCTTCTCAAACTATTCCAAAAAATCGAAGAAGGAAAACTTCCAAATTCATTCTATGAGGTCTGCATTACCCTGATGCCAAAACCAAATAAAGACACTACAAAAAACAAGAACTACAGGTCAGTATTTCTGATGAACACAGATGTAAAAATCCTCAATAAAATACCAGCAAATCAAATCCAACAACATGTTAAAAAAATCATTCACTATGATCAAGTGGGATTTATTCTTGGGTTGCAAGGGTGGTTCAATATTCACAAAGCAATCATCAATCAACATGACAGATCACATCAACAACAGAAAGAATAAAAACCATATGATATTTCCATAGATTCAGAAAAAGCATTTCACAGAGTATAACATACATTCATAATAAAAAACCATCCACGAAGTAGGTTTAGAGGGAACATACCTCAACATAATAAAGCCATATATGAAAAACCCAAAGCTAATATCATACTCAATGGTGAAAAACTGAAAGCTTTCCCCCTAAGATCAGCAACAAGACAAGGATGTCCACCCTCACCACTTTTATTCAACAAAGTACTCAAAGTCCTACCCACAGCAATCAGGCAAGAAAAAGGAATAAAAGGCATCCAGATTGGTAAGAAAAATGTAAAACTTTCACTATTTGCAGATGACATGATACAATATATAGAAAATCCTAAAGACTCCACCAAAAAACTACTAGAACTGGGGTGCTTGGGTGGCTCAGTCGTTAAGCATCTGCCTTCAGCTCAGGTCCACAATCCCAGGGTCCTGGGATCGAGCCCTGCATCGGGCTCCCTGCTCAACGGGAAGCCTGCTTCTCCCTCTCCCACTCCCCCTGCTTGTGTTCACTCTCTCGCTGTATCTCTCTCTGTCAAATAAATAAATAAATAAATTCTTTAAAAAAAAAAAAAAACTACTAGAACTGATAAATGAATTCAGTTAAGGTTGCAGGATACAAAATCAATGTACAGAAATCCGTTGCATTTCTACACACTAATAATAAAGCAGCAGAAAGAGATATTAAGAAAACAATCCCATTTACAATTGTACCAAAAATAGTAATACCTAGGAATAAACTTAACAAAGAAGGTGAAAGACTTGTACTCTGTAAGCTATAAAACACTGATGAAAGAAATTGAAGATGACACAAATGAAAAAGTATTCCATTCTCATGGATTGGAAGAACAAATGGTGTTAAAATGTCCATACTACCCAAAACAATCTACAGATTTAATGCAATCCCAATCAACATACCAACAGCATTTTTCACAGACCTATAATTTCTATGGAACTACAAAAGACTCCAAATAGCCAAACAGTCTTGAAAAAGAAAAGCAAAGCAGGAAGTATCACAATTCCAGATTTCAAGTTATACTACAAAGCTGTAGTAATCAAAATGGTGTGGTACTGGCCCCAAAACAGACATATACATCAACAGAAAAGTCAGAAAGCCGTCCCCAAAAAACAAGATTATATGGTCAATTAATCTTTGACAAAAGAGGCAAGAATATGCAATGGGAAAAAGACACTCTCTTCAACAAATGCTGTTGGGAAAACTGGACAGCAACATGCAAAAGAATGAAACTGGACCACTTTCTTACACCATACACAAAAATAAACTCAAAATGGATGAAAGACCTAAATGTGAGACCTGAAATCATAAAAATTCTAGAAGAGAACACAGGCAGTAATTTCTCTAACATCTGCCATAGCAACATTTTTCTAATATGTCTCTCAAAGCAAGGAAAACAAAAGCAAAAATAAACTACTGGGACTTCATCAAAATAAAAAGCTTCTGCACAGCAAAGGAAACAATCACCAAAATAAAAGACAACCTATGGAACGGGACAAGATATTTGCAAATGATATATCCAGTAAAGAGTTAGTACCCAAAAGAACTGATACAACAACACCCAAAAAACAAATAATTCAATTAAAAAATGGGCAGAAGACATGAACAGACATTTTTCCAAAGAAGACATGTGGATGGCCAACAGACACATGAAAACATGTTCAATAGTGCTCATCAGCAGGGAAATGAAAATCAAAACTACAATGAGGTACCACCTCACACCTGTCACAATGGCTAAAATCAACACAAGAAACAAAAGGTGCTTGGAGGATGTGGAGAAAGGGGAACCCTCATGCACTGTTGGTGGGAATACAAACTGCTGCATCCACTCTGGAAAATAGTATGGAGGTTCCTCAAAAATGAAAAATAGAATTACCCTATGATGCGGTAATTACACTACTAGGTATCTACCCAAAGAATACAAAAACATTAATTTGAAAGGATACATGCACCCCTAAGTTTATAGCAGCATTATCCACAATAGTCAAAGTATGGAAACAGCCCCAGTGTCCATCAATGGATGAATGGATAAAGAAAATGTGGTGTGTATACACACACACACACACACAGGAATATTGATCAGCCATTAAAAAGAATGAAATCTTGCCATTTGCAATGACATGGGTAGAACTCGAGAGTATTACACTAAGT